AAAAATGAGAAAATGAAAATTAAGAATAATTTAATGAATATTTCATTCATTTTGAATAAAGTAATAAAATTTAAACTTAAAAAAAATAGGAATATGAGAAAGAGAAGAAATTATTGATAAAAATAAAAAATCAAAAGTATAATTTGTAAGAAAAATATTTCAATTTATTACTTATTGCTAAATGAAATATTAACTTACTTAACTTATTAACTTACTGTTTAAGAATAGCAGTTGAAATATTAAAATTACGATGAGTTAATTGAACACATTTGAATGAATTAGTTGTGCCACTACTAAAAGGTGTTAGTAGGATATCATCCAAAGTGATATCATTTTCATTGCATTCAATTAAGTTTTCCTTCCATTCTTTGATTAAATAATTAAAATCTTTTCCAAATTGAGTATAATTCTTGTCCAAAATTATTAACTGCAATTATTTGTATTGAAAAAAAAACAAATATAATTAATTAATTAATTAAAATTTTTTCTAAATTGAGTAAAATGCTTGTCCAAAATTATTAACTGCAATTATTGGTATTAAAAAAAAAAAAGAAAATAACAAATATAATTAATTTATAAGCAATTTGTTTGTAATTATATGATTAATTTTAACAAAAAGAATTTAAAAAATAATTATTAAAAATTTTTCATAGCTTAACGAAATTTAACAAATATTTATTGATATTTTTTTATAACTTAACAGAATTTAATAAATATTTATTGAAGATTTACATAACTTATTTTTCAATATTAGATATCATCTTTTTAATGAATATTTATAATTGTTAACTGCATATGAAATAACTAATTAAATACTTAATAGTTTGGTTTATTTAACTTTAACAGTGATAAGGTAATGTGCATTTTGCATGAAATGTAATTAAAATTTTTATAATTAATTAACTATAATTAACTAATTAATTAATTATAATTGAAATTTTTGCAAAAAAAAAAATGATTTGATATAATGAAAAAGAAATTTGAAATTATTTTATAATTCATGAAGCACACCAAGCATAGCTTATTAATTTTATTTAATAAATTAAATTCTCTTTAAAGTTATATTTTTTTTTAAATCGAAATAATCAAATTTTATTATAAAATGAAAAAAAAAAGAGAAGTAAACCTCGCATTGTGATGCAAAATTGATAGCAATATGATAGTTATGAGATGATACAATCAAATATTTTGCATTTGTTAATTTCAAAGCTTTTTCAAGTTCATCTAGAATTAATATTACAAATAAAATAAAATAATATTTTTATTTTAATGATATATTTTAAATTATTTTGAAAAATTCTATCCGATATTAGCTACAATTTTTTCGTTTTCTCAAGCTTAATTAATATTATTTATGAAAATGAAAAAAAAAAAAGAAAAAGAAATGTGACATTTCATTTTTCCAAAAATGATATATCATTTATTTTTAATTTATTAACTATATTTTACAAAAATTACAATTTCTATTACATTTTACTTTTAAATGTTAATTAGCTTAATTTTTTTTTTTTTACTAGGAAATTACAAGATTATAAATATCAATTTTTATTCTGGAAAAGTAGATATATATCGCCGGAAACTGTGAAATATTTCAAAAATGTTACATTGGGTGGATTCCGGATGAATTCCTGATATTGAGCAACCGATTAATGCACTACCCAAAAAGATAATTGCATACTGATAACAATTTTCCAAGCAAACAATCACTATATCACCTTTTTTTGCACCCAATTGTTTAAGATTATTAGCAAAATTGTAAGATTTATTTCGTAGCTGATTAAATGTCAAATTATCACCAGTGTGTAAATCTGTCTGTAAATAATTTTTGTTTTATAATTATAACAAAATTTTTTATTTCATATCTTTTCAACATTTTTTCACTCTTTCAATTTTAATTATTTAACATTTCATTTCAATTAGTATTAATAGATTTGATGTAAGAAGAATTATCTCTATCCTAGAATGTATTAAAGTTGAAAATTTGCAAAATTATGTATAAATTTAGACTAGATTAGTTTAAAAAAAATCTTTTTTTCAGAAGATTAGTTTTTGAATTTGTTTTGAATTTTATATAAAATTTACAAAATCACCTGTACATGCATTTCATATATCGATTTAACTTCAAAATCTACAAGTTTAAATAGCAATAATAAAAATAAACGTTACGTTACTTTCAGTAAATCGTAGTAAATTTTTAATTTTAAGGTAAATAGTAAATTTTAAGGTAAAATTAGTAAGTTTAAGTAATACATACCAATGCTATACTGTCACCATATTGTATGGCAAAATCGAGAATTTGCAAATGAAAAAGTTGATCACTAGCAGAGAGCATTTACGTTTTTTGGAAATGAGAAAAATATGGAATAGAAGGGATAAGATAATTGCAATAGGCTGTAATGATTGAGGCTAATTTTAAATTGCTAACCAAATTGCCATATTTTAGTGTTTATCAAATTTGATAATCAAATGATTACATTCATTTTTCATTTCTCGGAATTTTTAAAAATGAAAAAGACCTATATTTATATATTTTGTCACTGACAAATAATTTTTGTATTGTTTTGATAAATTTAAAATGTTACAAAAACATAGTTCTAGCTAAATACACAAACATACATAAAACTACATCAAAAATTTGAGCTAAAAAAAAAAAGAAAAGTGAAAATAAATCTTATTCATAATTTGAATCATAAAATTCAACAATAAAAGAAAGTATTACAAACAATAAAGAGTATCAATCACTCAATGATATCATCATCATTATTATCATCATTTTCATTCTGTTGTTTGTGACATAGACGGTTGCACCAAATGCATCACATCAGCAAAACGTATCATATGAGGTACCATTTCTATAAAAATCAAACAAACAATCATTTACTCAAGAATTTCCACAAATACTTTCAAAGGGAATTTCAATACAATTCAAAAAAAGAAAAGATTCGAGCTAAAAAAAAAACAAAATTTGAGTTAAAAAAATCAAAAAAAAAAAAAAAAATGTAAGCAACAAAATGGATTCTTTATGTAACAAATGAAAAAAAAAACTCAAATGCTTCAAGTTAGATTTTTCTATCTATTTGTTATTTTTTGATAAATAATTACAAAAAAAAAAAGCAAATGAAATATCAAAATTAATACAAACCGTGCAAGAATTCAAGTTTATCATTATCTTGAATATAATCTGCCAAATGAGAATATTCCATACATTTTGGTTTGTCATTTGATTCATATGATTCTTTCGCTAATTTGCATACAAAAAGTTCCTCAAAACAATGCATTTTCATATTAACTCTACGAAAATGAATAATTTAAATAAATATTAACGTTATTTGCATTCTGAGATAAAAAAAAAAAAAAAAAAAAACCAAACTACATGAAATTCAATTCAATTAAAAATTTGTGCTCAAATTAATCAACACTTCAGTTCGAGTTATTTTAGTTTTTAATAGCTATAAAATAACTTTCTACTAGCTTACAAATGCTTACTTCAGTTTCTTGATTTGTATGTATGAAAAAGAGCTAAAATTTAAATTTTCACAACAAAATAATATCATACTAAAACGATGATCTATTAAATTCAATTTAAATGATAAAATAATATCATATATCATCATACTAAGTAAATTTCAATTTATTATTTTCTTTTCAAAATCTTTTTCAAATAGCAAAAGAAAAAAAAGAAAAAGAAAACAATACTTACTGCAGCTTTAGTCATAGCAAATAAGCCTTCACTGGAGATTGGTACCTGTTCACCACCACTTTGCATAATTGTCCTAACTCGTGCTAGAGGTAACTCATGTTGTGCATTCAACACTGAAAATGATGATGAAGATGGTGCTTCATTTTCAGAATGATCAGATCTTCGAAATGTCACCAACATTTGATCATCATCATGTGAATCACCGCTATCATCATTTACAGCCATCTTCATATTCAGTAGTAGCAGCCAGCAGCAGCAATAAAACAGATCTATAATTTTAAAATATTAAAATATATCACAAATTCATTGTCATATAAAAAGTACAAGAAATTAATGCTATTAGCAATTTATTTATTTTTTTTTTCAGCATATCTTATTTAAAATTAAGTAGTGGAAATTTTTTTTTAAAAATTAAAAAAAAGCACTAAAAACAATCTCAAAAACCTTAAAACTGTATAAAATACTAGAAAAAATTAACATTGCATTGTTTTATCATGCCTAATTTGACAATAATTCACAACAGATATAGTAACAGACTATTTTTCTCATTTCAAAAATTTTTGTAATCTCTATACTCCACTTCAATGCAAAAATATAATTTTAAAAGTTAAGATAATATGTATTGTGATATTGTGGCATTATGTTGCATTACACAAAACTGATTCAAAAAAGTATAAAATTTATGAAAGTAAAAATTTATGAATTACAGTGAGGAAAACAAATAATTGTGATCAACGTACAAAGTGAAATCATACAAATGAAAAAAAAAAAAAATAAATCATTTTGCCACAAGAAAAACTTTTTTTTAAAACATTAGTTATAAATTAGTTCATAGCACGAAATTAAACACAATAAAGCAATTTTTGTATCACAGAAAATGAAGAAATTAAATAAGACTTCAACAGATAGTTTCGGAGCTATATTAAAATTATTTAATCTTTCAAAAAAAAAGCTTTAAATTTGAGAGAAAAAAAATGGAAATATGTTTGTGCAGTTGCAATCAATTTAAAGTCAAGAAAAATATTGTGATATAAATCACCAAATAAAGTTATGAAACACACAGAAAATACATCAGCACTAAAAATTTACTGACTTCATCAAATTTTTACAAATCAAGGTTTTTGTAAAAAATTTGGTGAAGTCAGCAAATTTTCATCATTGACGACAAAAATATTCTTTAGTGCATGATTCGTAATTCTTTTTTAAAATTAAGTGCAACGATGATAAAATTTTAAATGCTATATACTTTATATTATTTAAAATAAGCATAATTAATTGAATTCACAAATTGTCAAAGATATCAATGTAATGCATATGTTCTTTTCCAAAGCCTTCTCTTCATATCTGTTTCACATTCTGAAACAACGCGAGTAAAAAAATAAATGAAAAATAGAAATAAACGAGGAATAGCGACGTTGAAAATGACGTTGAAAATTATGCAACTTTGTGATGTAAGCCTTATTATAATAATAATAATAATAATAATAATAATAATAATAATAAAAGCATACTACCAACAACTAGTACTCTTTCTCTTGTTAAACAAACTTACACTAGATTATGCTAACACATCAAAAGTTATCACTAGTTAAAGAAAAAATAAATTGCTAAGCAACAATGAAATGAGAATTGAATCAAAACAGATATACCTTTATGGATCACAAAATAACACCCTTTTTAGATTCAGATCCTGTACTTCACCTTGCCTCTGATTTTATCGGTACTGTTCCGGTGCTGAAATCTATAATCACTATAATAAAAAGAAAAGCAGCAGAATGGAAAATATGGAAAGAAGCAATAAAAGATGAGAAAAATATTTTTTGAAGTTTCAAATAAACCACTCAGAAAATATCACGCAATGATGGGTTAAAGAAGCTACAAATCAGTAAAGCTATAAGATTTGTAGCAGCGTATATCAACGAGTTAAAAATTAGAAAAAAATGATTGAAATAGACATCCATATGGACTTGATAAATAACATATCCAAATACATCTTGGAATATTGCAATTCTTTTATTAGTCTCAGGACTTTGAGGAAAGCTAATCATTTGCATGGCGATAGCTAATCTTCATAATTGTCTCATAACTACTGAAAAATCATTAAAGTTAAGCTAACCATAATGTTGTTGATTTCCTTCAAACTCTTGTTTTCGTGCTCGTTTGCTGCGCTCATCAGCTACTTTTTCACCTTCCACAAAACGTGTACCACTAGTCGGTAAAATCGAACTGTTACTGTCACCGTAACTTACATTATAGCAATATTTCGAATCCTGTATAAAGGCTAATTTCTCAACATGAGGTGGAGTAGCATAACATTGAAACAGAAAATCATATCAAATGTATATATAATGTGCAATTTTTAATAGAAAAAAAAAAATGCTAAACATATGGTGATCAAATTTTCATATTTATCCGTGCATTAAAATAAGAAATATATTATACAATGAAAACTCACATTTAAATTTCCTTCCAAAATAATTGCTTGCTCATCATTCGCTATAGTAAGTTGACCAGTTTCAAAAAGATGCTGAACGCTTTCGATATCATCAAATTGAATTTGCACCTCCTCATCTTCTCCTAATTCGATCTTAAAATATGTAACATTAAGGAGCGACCATATTTTCATCAAATAATTGAATTTACATGATAATCTACACGATAATAGCAATAATGAGAGACTTTATTCTACAGCTTATGACAGCTAATGTAAGTCAGATAAATGAATTTTAAATATGAATAGTTAATTTCTGTGCCCCCCAAAAAATTTGTGCCCTGTAAATCGGCAAATTATCGCCTTCGCCAGCTTGAAGCTACAGTTTGAACTTGCTTTAGACAAAACTATCCTCATTCATCAATGAGCTATCTACAATAGTCTAGTAAGACATGGAATAATAAAATAAAACATGAAATAATATCTAGAAATTTATAAATGATGACAGGCAATAACCAAAAGTGATTATTATGTGCTATTCAGGAGATACAAGACAATAGTTCAAGCCAAGTTCTACAATAAAACTAAGCTTAGTTCTTATCAGACAACTACTAGACATGTATGTAAAGCTGGAAAGTACAAATTATATGCAAGCCTATTTGGAAAAGAGAGAATGAAGAAGAGAAAGAAAAAAAAAAGTGAAAACGAAGCAAATCCAGCTGGTGGATATTAAAGTTTATAGTATATCTGTGCATAGTATGTGTGACTGCATCTCAAAATCAAAAAGAATCAATATTACTTCAAGAAAAAAAAGAAGATAAAAAATGTACTAATACATACAACTTCCCCGTTTTCATCGATGAATATCTGATTTCCATCAGCATCCTCTTCAATACGACAAACACGACGAATGATAGGTTCTGATGTAACTACTGGCTAAAATATTTGCAAAAATCAAAGAAAAAAAAAAAAAATAACCAGGTATCAGAAACCATACCAACCCAAAAATGGGATGCATTTTAACGGCATAACTTTACACTGTCATTTTTCGACATATCAGCAATAGTTTCAAAAAGATATATATAAAACATAAAAAATATAGGGTGAAAATAAAAAATGTTTGCTAATAATTTTACTTTCGCAGAAAAGAAAAATTACCTCTTGAACAGGTACTTCGGGTGCAAGTGTCGGAGGAGGCTCAACGTTATCACTATCATCTGCCTGCTTCAATGTACTCCCCGATTTCTCTCGGGTTTCTACAAATTAAAACATTTACCATTTACAACCGAAATGATCAATATTATGCGATGATGCTTTATTACAAACATCATTTAAAGGTATGTATAAATATACCTGTACAGCGTTGTTTTGTAGATGTAGCTGTTTCTGTATCTTTCTTTGTAGCTGTATCATTTTGAATATGATGACGTACTTCTGAAGGATGAACGGCTTTTACGTGACGCTCAACAGCGCGTTCACCGTAAAATACCACTCCTACCAATAATGAAAATGTAAGAAAATCTGATAAGAAAAAAATTAAACTGCAAATGAAATAAAAGTACAAGAACAAATGTAAGTCTCGCATGAATCCATAAAGCGAAAAAAAAGAAATCGAAACCAGTCTAAGAACTGATGATGACCAGAACAAATAAATCTGATCATGCTACGACGGCTACTGGCTGGAAGAGAGTTCCAAAATAACGGACAATATTTCCATGAAAACATATGCAACTAACCACAAACAGGACATGATTTTCCATTCGGTAAATCCGGCCGCATAACCAATAGTTCAAACGGTGGCCTTGTACGAAAATGAGGAAAAGATGCAGGTGAGTTATCCGGAATTTCCCGCTTATTAGCAATCATTTTTTTCTGCGCAGATGATAACTGTAAATTTCTTTGTGCCAGTGCTCGTACCGCACGACGCAATGCAAGAGCATCAAACTAAAAAATTTAATGTGTAACTAACGTAACTTCAATAAAATGTGATAAAAATTTAATATTTCATTATAAAAATACGAACTTTATAACTAGACTTGAAAATACGCTGTTAACAGTTTTCTGATTTATATATTACATGTAAGATGCAAAGCTATGACTGAAAATTTACATCAAAAATTGGAAAGGACGGACAATAACTTTAAATTTAAGTAACAAATAAAAAGATCTAAATTTTTACTTATGAAAATTATCCACATGAAAAGTTAAATATACAAGTCATACTTACCTGCTCCCTTTTTTCTAAATCAATGTATAACTTCGTATATGGACAAGAACGACGATAATGTGAAAGAAGATTATAGTCGTATTTGAAACGATTACCACAAAGCACACATGGATGTGATCCAGTAGTGGCATGAAAACCCGCAATATGTCTCTCTAATCTGCAACATATATGTGTACATATATTCAGCCTCCTATGATACTTTACCACAACTACGTATCCATACGGATGTATGTGATCCTTAAGCAGGAGAAGTTGGCACAGACAACCAAGGAAATAAGCAACAAGTTTAATGTCTCGTATATATATTGTAAACAATGTGTGAATGTTTACAAAACATAAGATTGGAAAATATAAGCAATATTTTGTGAAGGATTTATAGAACATATTTCTTATCCATATTCTCTATGTTTTTAGAGTTTCGCGTATTAAAAACCCGCGACACACCTTAAGTAAGATTTAATACTGTTAAAGTAAGATGAAATGTTAATGTCAGACTTACCTTGCCATATTAACGAAAGTGCGGGAGCATACCGAACACTGCACCATGCCATGAGTGGAAGACCATTTTGTACGCACTGGATTTGGCTCACTAGTACTTGCAGCATCTCCAGCAGTCTGCAACAATATATATTGTTAAAAGGAAATAGTAGAAGAATGAATTAAAATAACTTAAACATAAATGAGTAAAATAAATTAATGTAAACCTGATCTAAATAACTCCATGGAACACCATGTTCATCATGGTTAATTATCTCCGCTTCATCACCAGCTTCTAAATGCGTTAACATTTCATGAGATGAGTAACGATTAGTAAGTGCATCCTGTTGATAATCAACGACCGATAAGTCCTAAAAACATCACATATTTAAAAATTAATATCGCTGTAACTAAAACCTAATTTCTAAGATAGTCTAAAAGAAGCTTCACAAGGAATAAGCAATAATGAAGTCATAAATCGCAACAAGTGATAGAAAAAATTTTTAAATCGAAATTTTTAAAAAAAATTTTTAAATACAACACCATCCAAAGTTCTCATATTAACATACCTTGTCCTTATCTGCAGAAAGAAACAAATCCTGAGCTGATACTCCTTCGCCATCATCATCGTGTGAAACTACAATAGTTGTTTGTTAAGCTTCAGAATTCAACGACTTGGTATGAAGAGTGAAGACGGTTAAAAAGATAATTTAAATATTCCAAATCGACAAACCAATCGACAAGTTTTTATATCTAGATGGCAACGGGAAGGAAATATTGATAGTAATAAAAGAACTAGCATTCTACAGATGTGAAAAAAAAAATGCAGTTAAGTAGACATAAAGGCATTTCAAGAACATGAATGGGTTCTACTTCACAATGATTCTTCCTTAATGAGTATTTCTGACATACTTTTTTTTTAACATACTGAAATTAAATACAATGAAATTAGGTCAATGAAGTAAAATGTAATGAAATTACAAAAAAATTAATATTAACTAATCCCATTATTCCATATCAAGGTATTGATAGTATTAACACAACTAAATAGTTCTTTTCAGTTTGTCTGCGTCCTCTTTAAACAAACAACAATTTTCTCTTTAAACAAACAACAATTGCAAAACTTACTGCCACCAAATCGTTGAGAATATTCTTCTCCTAATTCGCGCATTATATCCGTTACCATATCCTTCAGTGTCTCGTCATCCATAGATATATCTCGAGCATTCGAAAGGCGTGCCTAAGCAATTAGGTCGGTATGTAACAGAAGCAAAAAATTAGAGTATAATATTTGGTATTCGAAATATATTTGAAATTTAGTATTTGAAAACAGAGTATCACTGACCTGTATCTCTGTGCAACTACTTCGCCAGTGTTTAATTAAACTGTAATGTTGACGAAACATTTGTCCGCAGAGGCTACAAAAATGTTCACCGCTGCCGCTCCGTGCATCCACGGGAATAATACCGCGATGCATAGCAACATGCCATTGAATCACAGAGTTGGATATTTTCACACCACACTGTTTGCATGGAACACCAGAATATACACTTTGAGTACCTAAAGTTAAAAATGCAAAGAAATATAAAACAACTACTAACAACTTAAAGCTTATTTTCGAAGTTCGAATAGGAGGCTGAAAATATTAATAAAAATATTGAGGTTGCTGCAGGGATCCTAATGTTATAACACCGTGATGCCAAACAAGCTTAATCAATTCTAAATATATTCAATACAAGGATATACTAAAAAAAATGTACTAAAAAATGTACCAAAAAAATTACTAAAAAAAAACTTACTTAGAGGAGCTTGCATATCGATGAGACCAAATGTGTCTGATTTAAAGAGCAGGTTTGGATTAATACCTATTTTCATCACAGGTGGTGGGGCTTCATCAGCCTTTTTTCTTGCAAATTTTAATACCATGGATCGTAAAACGTTAACATCCATTGTCTAGAAAACATTTCAAATATTTGCAAATACTAGAAAATAATAGAAATGAGTCTTAAGTAAATGAATAAAAATTAAGAAAACCTAAAAATGAATAAATTGTAGATAAACCTTTCTTCTTTCAGCCGGTATTAGTTCGCTGAGTTCATGACATGTCCGACGCCAGTGATAAAACAAATTATACTCATATTTGTAAACTTTCTGACATAGTGGACATTGAAATGAACCAGAGATCTGCAACGAAAAACCGAATAAACAAAAAGAATTATTAAATTAATAAATTATATTTTGGAAGTACGCTAAACAACTTTCACCAAATTTGTATGTTATCTATGTATACCAAACTTCAAATTAAAAAAGCTAAAGAACACCAAATTAAATAGTTACTTATATACCTAAACTTAGACATTAAAAATTTTATACCATATGCCACGCTTACATGCATCGTTGTTAAACTCTTAAACCCTCGCCTCTTCTATCTAACCTAGTTCACTCACAGTATAGAAAAATTCAGAGTACACAGTAGATCATTTTTCAGAATACTTCGAAAACGAGAGAAAGCACCTGATGAACTGCTAAATGTCTTTCCAGCCTAGCAGTATTGATAAAAGTTTGATCGCATTCCGGGCATGAATAAGTACCGTACACACGATTTCTACAAATTGACGATATTTTCGTATCCAACTGAATTAGCATAACAAAGTTCAAAACATAAAGAAATTAAAGACTACATCGAATAAAGTACTGAGTCGTTTAACCTCAGGATGTGTCAATAACTTACCTTTCACTGGAATAATCATCAACAGCATACAGTGATATTTTAATAGGAACAACAGCAAGAAACTGATAAAATCAAATACATGAAGTTAAGAAAAAAAGAACCTTCTATATCTTCCCAACTGATATGGATCACTGCCAGCTGGGTTGCCGAACAACTGCTGCATAATTTTACCATGTTTATCAATATCCACGACCTCCACACCATGATAATCATTTTCTGCAAAAAAAAGAAAAAAAGATCTGCAGTTTACTTACTATAACTAATACCGTACAAGTAATAACAACGGTAACATTAAAACATTTCTATTACTTATTCGCTGATTGATGCCGTTAATCTAAACTGGTTCTACCTGAGAGAAATCCTACTGAAAATTTGACACTGCTTAGAAATATTCCATAACAAAAAATTTGATAGTTCGTATTATCCTTCATAAAATGTTAATTAACACAGAAACGGAACAAAATAAAAGCACGGTGAATTACCACATCTAAATATACTTTCAAGCTTAAAAGCAATGGAAGATTTTTTTCTACTCATAATGGATGTAATACACAATAAGATTGCTCAAAAAGAAACTAAATAACAAATTAACAAATTAATCGTTAAAATACGGAAACTACGTTTTCTGTAGTGGTCAGATGGAAGTTCTGATTCATTAAGTTCATCTATTTCTAGCAGTACTGTCTCCGTACCATCATCGTTTCTTAAGATCTGAACGTTGTCCACTTTTTCGACATCTGAAACGCCATTCTTCAGTACGGAATGAAATTTTTTCCTTTAAAGTTCAGTATGATTTTTTTTTTCAGTATGCTAGTATGCTCTAGCAAAATCATAGCTAAAGTGGACAAAATTTACCACAAATGTAAGAAAAATTTGAATACCGCACCAACATCAGGTCCATTTAAATTCAGGATTAGATAGTATTCATGATCATCGCCAACAATCACTTGCCCAACCGTGCTTTCTTCAACTAATTCCGTTTCCTCAACCTCAAAAAGTCTTGAATAAGTGATCCTACCTCTTGTTACTAGAACTTACGGCAGGAATCATTTGTGAATTAAGTAATAACTGCATCACTAAGCAAATGACATAAACTAAATACAAAATGCAAATAACGCATGCTACACAAACTCTTCCACTAATTTATTCTGATAACTAGAAAATTATTCTGCAAGTTACAAATACACAATCTATTCTATTTTCTTCAGTTGATATTGGAACCAAATGATATAAATTAGGAAGTGCAGTAATTCAACATCCCGAAAAAGTAAAAAGTTTTAAACTATCTGAAAATATCGTCACCTCGACACTTTCTTGTCGGTCATAAATGTCTGTATGGACAGTTTTCGTGATACCATTTGTTTTCTGCGTGTTCTGCATTTCATCCGATGAATGGCCAGCATCATCCTTACCAGATGCTTCCTCTATAAATATATACGCACCTTCATTGCATTATGAAGAAATTTAAGAACTAAATGATTATTCCAGCCTTTAACATCTCAGCGCCTTAAATACTGCTTCCATGTAGTAACGTAGAAAAATAATTTAATAAACCAACAAAAAAATGAATGGAATTAAACTTTTCCATGCGCAAATTCTGTAACTAACAAACAAACAAGCAAACTACAAGTAATACTTTTAAAATTTAAAACAAAAATCAAACTATAAGTTAAAAATGGCGGGTATAGCAAGAGAAAAAAATAGCTACAAAAATGCAAGCAATCTTGACGGGAACAAATTACCCATTGAGGCGCTGATCACTCGGTTAGCTCTCCTTCTGAATCAATACTCTCGACGATTTTTAAAGTATCAGTTCTGCCCAGTGCATTTCCATGTAATTTCTACGTTTACTCCTGGAACTTCATAAAACCTATGAAACGCGGCCCCATCGTAGGGTATTTCTTACTTTACGTTTGGTTTCTTTCAACTAAAATACGATTAAACGCGTAATCTGTTGTAATATTTTAGTGATATATATATGCATGCATGTGCAAGCTTTCTGAAGACGACAATTCTTCACTTCTGCAACACTCACGTACGTGTCCGCTCCAGTTCAACTTATTAATAGCCTTAAGGCCAACAAGTAATGCAACAGCTGTTAAACTCTTGGCCCTTAAATTTGTGAAATATTATATCCTGCTAAGATAATTCGATGATAATTAGTTGTATTAATAAGTTTGATTAATCAATTTAAAATTTAAGTATTAATTTAATGGGAATAAGCAGAAGTGAAAGACACCGTGAAAATCATTAATAGCAATAATTAGCATTAGCAGAGATCTTAGTTAATCAGAAATTTGCAATGAGATTGATTAGAGAAACTAAAAATAAAAAAATTTAATATTTTCTGTAGTTAGAGAAACTAGAAAGAAATGGAGGGAAAAAAGAAGAAAGTAATGGCAAAGAATCTAGGATAGAAATTCGAAAAAGAAAAATTTCAATAATGTCAGACTTTTTTTTTTCAAAAGCTAGAAATCAATTGTTAAAAATTAAAAATGAGTATAGATCTTGCTCTATTACATGAAAATTTGAAATCAGTGATTTAAAATTAATGATAATTGAAATTAGCCATTGCTTAATTTTTTGCAGTCAACGATTCAGTTTTATATGAACAGATAATTTCTATCTAACTGTAATTACAAATTTCAATTCTGATTAACGCTTAGTTATTATATTGAGTTGGTAGTAGTGAATTTGATTTCCTTAATACTTTTTCCAATACTTTATGCTATGGTTTTTTTTTTTTTTTTAAAATTCTTTATATGGAATTATAAAGTAATGTATGAAAAAAGAAAAAAGTTGAGAAAGTTTTGTCTTTGTCTCATTAAATTAATGTTTATTAACTAATGGCCTAATCAACATGAAAAAAATAGCTAATAGTGAGATCAAAAGGAATAATATTGAATTAGCTAGACAAGTTCTTCTATCATCTTTTATATCAAATGTAAGCGCATGTCAAATCTTAATTGACATATAATTAGTTAAAATTATTTAATTAATTTTAATTGATTAAAATACCAATCTTTTATAACTGATTAATTAATGCTTTTGTTTTTTTTTTTCACATTAGTATCACATTGTACATTATCTATTCACTTCAAAATCGTTTGATTTTAAGCGTACTTTTTCAATGTTATGCACACCAGCTGCGGAACGTAACAAACAGCCAATATTGGATATTCTCAAACAATATATCGACAATCAATCACGTACGGTATGTATTTATTTATAATTGCATCTATTTGATAAAATTTTTTTATTGATGAAATTAAATTGAACTATCTTAAAGTGAAATTCGAAAAAAAACAAATTTCCAATAACTTTTTATTTTTCTTTGGTGATTTTTTCATACTGATGAAGATAAGATAAATTAAGTGAAAATTATAATATTTTTCTAGTTGTTGGAAATTGCATCTGGTAGTGGTCAGCATGTTTGTTATTTTGCACCACATTTTCCAAATGTCCTATTTCAACCCTCCGATATGGATGATCGTCACGTGAAATCCATAAATCTATACATTGATCATTTCAAGGTTTTCTCAGTTTTACTTCTTTTTGAAAGCTAGAGTTTATTTTAAATTAATTTTTAATACAGTGTAGAATTTTTCAGTCTATTTTAGTTTCTTTACAATACATAAATGGTATGAATATGATGGATATGTGGTTGATGAAACCTTATCAGTGTTTATCAATTTCGTAATTGAAACTTTCCGTGTCTAGTGCATCATCTATTTGATGTTAGTGTTCGGTGAATTATGGATGAAATAAGTTTTTCTGTTGCTTTCAACTAGTGATTAAGTATGATAAGCAAATAATTCGATTTCTAGAAAATGCATACTCGGAAGCAGCTTATGTGTTTTGATTTCCATTTATTCGAGTTATTCGAAAATGCTTGTTCCATCATCGAGAAAAAAAATGCGATGATTTCATACATTTCAAAACATTTGTCTTTCCAGTTGTGCAATGTTAAGCAGGCTTTGAAAATTGACGTTCGAAATGATATTAGCAGCTGGAACTTGCCGATTGAATTCCAACCGGAACAAATCGATTATCTCTTATCGATAAATATGATACATATCAGTTCAAATGCTGCTGTCGATGCACTGTTTAAAGTGAATATAAATTTCTTGTTATTACTTGACTTGAATATCGTAATGAGAATGTATTTAACATTTTTCAAGGAAATAGTAAGTTAAATATGTCATATATCATAATGTTTTATCATTTTAAAGTATTATTTTCAAGAATAGTAATTCTAGAGGGCTGGATCGTTACTTTCTAGTAAACATGGTTTGTTGATTACATATGGTCCGTATGCTATGAATGGTGAAATAACTCCGCAAAGTAATATTGACTTTCATCGATCACTTCTTTCCACTAATCCTGAATGGGGTTTACGTGATATAAATCTTTTGAATGAGGTATTCTTCAATTCATTTTAAAATTTGCTTTATATTGAGTGTACTATTTAGCTTAAGCTTTAAAATTGAAAATAATATTCAGTTCAGTGTCATTTTATTAAATTTAAAAAATAGTTACAAGAATCCACTGTGTTTTAAATATAACTATTTTGATGAAATCGTTCGTATTGGTGAATGAAAGAAATATTGGACTGAATTTTTTTTTTTTTTTTTGTAGAAAGCGGCTATTAGTGGATTATATGTGCAAAAAATACATGATATGCCAGCCAACAACAAAATGATAATTTTTGGACGACAGCCTGTATCATGAAAGAAGCATCTTAAACCGAAGTTATCTGATGAAAGAAACATCTTGAAACTAAATTGTTCATTCTGAGAATCGACGGTGAAGAGAATTCAGGAACATGTTCAAAGAAAATTTCTTTATATTTATTTAACAACTGGAAATTAATCTTTGAATTGCCCAAATAAAATTTTTGTTGTAATTTTTAATCACAGTAGTTCGAGAGGTTCCATAAGTATAATAACTATGAATTTGAATAAAGATGCAAGAATAAAGAAGCTATTTAATCAATGAGAGAAATCGATGAAAGAAACGATTAGAGGCAAACATTTTTTGACAAATAAACCTAAGTGATATTTTTTATCTAAGTTGGGAATTTAAGTCAACAATTCATATCAAGGTAAATTATTGTAAGGTTTCAGTCTGTTCTTGAGAGATTAATGATCGGTCACATACATAGCACAGGTGAAAAATGCAGAATATCTGATTGGGATCAAAGTTTTCAATCTGTTTCAGGTCAAAGGTTCAACTTATTGTTATGTGATTGGTTGTTGTGGTGTGAAGGGGGTGGGGTAGTTCGTTATCATTAAGTTTTTTAAATTTGATGAAAATGGAATTTTTTAAAAATAATCCGATTCATTTTTGGACTCTATGCTATGCTATTCATAGAACAGAAATTAGATAGAAAATCAAATTTCTAAAGAAAGTTGCAGAAACTGTTCTTGTTTTCATCATTTCTATGCAAAATTCATTCCTATGATCTATAAGATTCATGGGATGGAGCAAAATAGATGATATTTGTATAATGGATACAAATAAAATTGAAGAAATAAAATACATACGCCAGTTGAAATGAAATTGCTCATGCAGTGCTAGCACAAATTGAAATTACAAAACTAAAGAAGTTATTAAAATCAAGATGTTATTTTTTCTTTTCTCCAGATTGTGATGGTAACATCAGAGAACAGTACTGAAATATCTGTTGGATTTAAGGTCATCAAAAATCAATTCAATAGACACTGGCGGAATGATGGTGATTCTTCCAAGAAAAACACATGTATGTAATGATATTATTTTAAATATTTGTAAACGTTTATATCTATATATTTTTAATTAGAAGAAATAATGGCTTTCATTATTTGATGTGTTAGATTGTTCAAGGACTTTTTAATGTGAAAATTCTCCCTGTTGACTTTATCTAATCACCTGAGAGACATCGTCATTTCAATTTGTTTAATGCATCGAAAATAGTTTTCACTCTTTATAAATAACTATTCAAGTATAAAGCAGCACAGTGGTATTTCTTCTACTTGATGTTTCCTATTTTTTAGTGTTAACGGAGCGAAGTGGAATGCGCATGGCATCTGATCGAAATTACGTCTATGTGATCGGTGGTTTCTCACCGTCGCGGGAATCTTTCCTTGCAGAGGTTTGTTGCGCATAAAACTATAAACTAAGGAATGAAAGAAATCCTTTTAATAATGAGCAAGCGAATTTTGAATGCATTATGTGGATATATTTATGTTAGTAATGTATATAATTAGCAATTCGTATTTTTTGAAAAGAGTAATGACAAACTCAGCTAATTTCCAGAAGGACGTATTAATGACTATTCAAGGTGGGACTAAGATTGATCCGGATAGGCGTCTGACATTGCTTTTAGTATTATTTGATTCATTTCCAATAACATTCTAAATTTTATATTGCTTCGGTTGCTGTTGATTATCCTAACGCATAAAATGAGAAAGTGAGAGTATTTATAAATTATTATATTTTGCAGACCAGCAGAAAAGTAAATTGAAAGGAATGAATTAATACTAAAATATTTTAATCGAATTAATCCATCATCACATTTATTATTTTGTTATACTTTGTATTTTTTTCTACATTTCCGTGAGTTTTCTGAAACACAGTTTAGGAAGTATGGCGTTTCAATGTTCTGACCGATACCTGGGAACTGATGTCCATCCCGGAAAAAGGTTTTCCTAAGGAATTGGCATCGTTTGCAAGTAATTTTACCATTCCTTTCATCATATTTAATTCATCAATTATTTCTTATTTTGTGTTCATTTTTATTTACAATTCCTTGAAGCGCACAGATCATGTAGTATTGGATTATTAGACTTTCTTTTTTCATCACCATTTTCAGTATTTTTTAGGTTGCTTTTTCGGTGAACCAGTTTTATCTGAATTTTATATGTTCGGTGGAACTGGAGTTCCTTTCGGTACGAGAACTTCCAATTCAGTTAACTTACTCAAGCGCATAAGCGATGGAAATTTTGTTTGGAAACGGCTGATAACCGCTGGCGATATTCCAGCCAAACAGTATGGTTCAGTAAGTATCAGTTGTCTTTGTAAAAGTTAACCAGTTTGGTCTTTAAAAGCGGAAAATGGTGATTCAAGAAGTGCGAAATAAAGGATTGGTAGTTATGAATCACTTATTACTTAGGTGAAAAACTCGAAATAATCCTGAGTTTATCAACAACTTTTGAATTTTTAAAAATCTCATTTAAAAAGCATGACTCTTCATGTAATTTATATTTTTCGGTTTCCGAAAGATGTGTTGGTAGTGTAGCACTGTTTATTGGAAATTCCATTTTTGAAATCTGATTTTTTGCTTTTTCCGGAGTCTTTCCAAAAACTGTTTTTTATAAATGATTTTTTCAAGGATTTTCCTCTCTTCATTTCATTTCTAATAATTATTATTGAAAATTATCATCATTATTTCTGAAATCTTCATTTTTCAGTGTCTTGTACATAATAATGGTAAATTCTATCTGTTTGGTGGAACGACTGGTTGGGAATACAATTTGGAAGTTCGCAGTTTGGAACCTGAATTTAGTAGCAAAAAAGATGATGCAAAAAGATTAGAACCATTTCGCTGGAAATGGACACTTCTTCATGTAATTTATAAATTTATTGTTTTGTCTTTGGCATATATAAGTATTCTTTGCATATGTTTGGTTTGATTTTACGGAAGAAACAGGAAAATGCATATTACAGGATGGTTCAGGTGTCAATGGTAGATATAGACATGAAGCTGTAGTCGTTAACGATGAAATAATACTTATAGGTGGTGGTACACCTGAATGGACCTCACCGCTTGTAGAAGTTCGTTTTTTATTACAGCATTACTGTTCAATTAGAAAAACATATCAAAAAAATTTTATTTTTGAATTTATACAACACTTAGATGTTTGATATCAATTTTTAAACATTTCAGTTATTATTTTAAACTTCCGAAAATGAATTAGCCGTAATTTTGAAGAAAAACATATAAGTAAAACATTAGCTGATACCTCTAAAAACTTGATTTAGCCATTTTTATGAATTTTATGACATCCTAGCATTGTATGTCTTATGTTTCATTTTTTAGTTATTGGTATTCAATACAACTGATTGCAAATTTCGCAACCAGCTAACTCTACCTGACACCGACTATGGATATCCATTAGTATGTTTTAGCAGTTCATTTCATCTTTTGTTTTATTACTCCATGCCATATATTAATATTCAAACATTAAAAAGAAATAAAATACAGCCTTAATGAACAAATGTAAATTGTCACTTATTATTCATGATTAATATTAATTTTTTTCATCCGTATTTTGATTGCTATTTTGCTGTTTAAGGGTCGATTATACTACGGTTGCGTAAAATTTGGTAATGATGTTTATATTCTTGGCGGTTGTACTGAAAGATCAGTGATACGTCACTTGGTTGATGAAATAGTTTTGGTATTTTTTACTACTCAAATAATCTATTTAATTTGCCTTTAATATGACATTTATTAATTGATATTTTAATGTAGTGCAGAATACATTTTGATAGTTCTTTGCAGTATATCTTTATAGCATTTCATTAATCTTTGCAGAGAGGAGATGAAGGAGGGATTTGTTGATCATGGTTAAATTTAAAATAATTATTGTTGTTGCAGCGACCTAAATTACTTCAAGATTGCTGGAAACTTGATCTGAACGAGTGGCGTTGGAAACTGTTGCCTGGTGAATTAAATCAGCAGATATGTTTCCATGCAGCAACTATTACTCCAGTATGTGCAAAATTTTTTTTTTTTTAATTTAGTGATTTTAATAAGAAGAAAAACTGTATTATTTCCTAGTTCGTTTTCAGAATAATTTGGGAATTCAAAACATTGTCGATTATGTAGATTAATCATTTGAGGATAGGTACTGAGTGAGATTTATTTTCCGTTTTTCCGTTTGTTTTTCCGCTATAGAGTTTGAAAGAAAAAGTTGATTCTATTATGGAAGCAATTTGTACTTCTAAAAGATATGAAATTTGTAGATGAAAAGATGATATCTCTAACATTATAAACGTTTTTCCTTTTTTTTACACAAAACTAAACTTTTTTTTTTTTACTTAATTAAATAAATAATTACAGGAAGGCTGTATTTATGTTTTTGGTGGTACTATAGATGAAAAATTTGAAAGACGAACAGATGAGTTGCAAAGATGTTGGATCACACCACCAAGTTTATTCTATATTGCTGCACATACTGTTGTTCATACATATCCTGGTCTTTCTGAGCGTTTTCATGATTTAACATTAACAAATATTTTTGATTGTTTATCTTTAATCAGTTAAGTTTCTCATTTAATACGCTCATTGTTCCATAAGTATGCTGGATTTTTGTTTAGTTTTTCACTTCAAAATCTATTCCTACTAAGTTTGAAAGTTCATATTCAATCCTATGTAATCAGAATGCATAATTTTAGAGTAGTTCAAAATATTCACATTTATCTTCAATTAAAGAATATTGGAGAATAAAAAGCATTTCAGAAGAATTAATTAGATTAATGATTTGTTGAATGGTTGAGAAAAATTTATGCTTCTATTTTGATTCGTTTTCTTCATGAGCATATTTTGTGAAATGAATTGACAATGTATTATAATCGAGTAATTTTCATCTTATTGTTCTTGTTCGGATTTGGTAATACATAGTAGTCAGTGTTTGATTTACTATATTGTTTCAGTTCTATCGATGATCGATTGATTTGTTCTTCAAAATGATCTAAACGGAAAAAGCACTTAATTTTTGATACCTTATTGACGCTTAATATAATAAACGGAATTATTCTAGCCTAATATATGAGAAGTAAGGTTAAAAGTAAGAGAAGTAAAACCAAATTTTCAAATAGATAATAGTTTAGGTAATAATAATAATTTCAGTAATATAGTTACCGTAGTGGTTCCATGTTATCTTTTGCATAGTTTTTTCCGGATTAGCAGTTTGTGTTGGACGATTGTGTTTTGTTGTTCTGAAGTTTTATATAATGTTAAATCATTTTTAGCTAATCTAATGCACTATTTTTGTAAGGTATTTTTCTTTTTCTTAATTTCAAACAGTTTACGATTCAATGAAAAAATTTATTGATATTTAGATTCTTAAGTAATCTTTAAGGAATTCAATGATTATAGCATCTATTATACATTAAAACATTTAAGTAACATTTAAGTGATACTACGATAATTAGAAAAATTTAAGTGATACTACGATAATTAGAAAATTTTTTTAGATTCCCCATCATTGTAAAAAAAGAAAACAAAAAAAGCTTTTGCATATTGTAATGGTTTCGCTTATGATTGTTGAAATAATTATGCTAAACATTCTTGGCATTAATTAGCAATCAACAAAATTTGTGATAATCTTTGATCAAAATTGACAGAAACCAGTTACGAACGTAAGTTTATCATTTTTTTTTCTTGTTCATTTATTTTTTTTAATTTTGAAATAAAATTAATGGAAAACATTTTTTGCACATATTTAAATTCACTATCAATTTAAATGATACAAAATTGAAGGAAGGCGATGCATACATAAGTTAACTCTAACATTAGATATTATTTAAATTAAAAAGCATACTTAAAATCGACGGTTGATCCATTTAAAAGAGTATTGCCAGAAGTTGGAAGTACTTTCTGGCTTCGCCAAAAAAGATCAGGCCTTATATCCGGTACACGATCATAATTATCAGCAATGCAAAAACTTTGCTAAAATAAAATAAAAATTTGGTAAAATTGAAAAAATTTAGTGTTCAAATAAAAATTGAGATAAAAATTTAAAAAAAAGTTTGATATTTTCTTACTGTAAAATTAGTCTAATCATTTGACTATTTTCAACTACTGTTCATACTAATACATTTGTTAAATTTTATCAATCTAAAGAAAGCAAAATTAGAATGATGAGAATTTTTTTATTTAAATTATTCGTATAAATGTTTGCAGATGTTTTAACAAAATAACGACTACAATACCATTAATATATTTAATTTTCTATTTTAATTTAATTAATGTAACTGAAAAATGTTTAAAATATCTATGCTACGAGAATTTGAAATATTATTTGTTCACTTTTAAAACATTAAATGAAATTTTACAGTAAGATTTTTATCAATAAAATAATTGAAGTACCTGATTTTGATTTTAAATTTAATTTTCAATTTAACTTAAAACATTAAATGAAATCTCACAGTAAGATTTTTATCAATAAAATAATTGAAGTACCTAATTTTGATTTTCAATTTAATTTAATTTTCAGTTTCAATTTAATTAATATAGCTGAAAAAGATCTATTCAATGAAAATTTGAAATATTAATTGTTCACTTTTAAAACATTAAATGAAATCTCACAGTAAGATTTTTATCAATAAAATAATTGAAGTACCTGATTTTGATTTTCAATTTAATTTTCAATTTAATTTAAAACATTAAATGAAATCTCACAGTAAGATTTTTATCAATAAGATAATTGCATTCGAAATCATCATCATCATCACCAAATGGATTGAGCAATGCTTGTGCAACTTTTAACCAACCAATAAAAAATACAAATTGTATCACTGTCATCATTGGTACTATCAAATCAAGCTATAATAAAAAGAAAACTTGAATTTGTTTTTTTTTTTAATTTATTTCAATAAATAATTTTGAAATTTTAAATTTAATTATTATTACTTTCTCAATTTTAAATTTATTATTATTATTTTTTTTTAAAATCAATTTTGATAAATCATTTCAAGATTGTAACAAAGTTTAAAAAACAATTTTTTTTTTAAAAATTTTTAAACTGATCAAATTGCTTTTCATATGTTAAAAATTGATGCAAATTTTTCAAAATAATGAGCAAAATTTTAATTTGTGATAAGTTTAAAATACTTTTTAAAATTTATTTTAGTATTTAACAGCAACAGTTACTGCTAACTTATTAGCACATCACAGTAACAATAGAATATAAATTGTTTCTATAAGTTATTGCTTGAAATTAAAATGTAAATTCAAAAATTTGTCAATAAAAGCTTACATAAGTTGTATGACTATTATCAGTAATGATAAACTGTTGACTGATAAGGCAGATAAGGAAATGAACGTAAACTGCCAAAAATACAACCTAAATTTTTATCAGTTATATCAAAATTTTAATCATTTGTAAATATCTAAATTTTAATCATTTAAATTTATATTATCATTCTATTTGAATAAAATAAAATTATGATTCAAAAATCATTTCTAAAAGAAAATTTAAAGAAAAATTTTCTTCAAAATCATTTCTAAAAGAAAATTTAAAACAAAGAAAAAGAAATTCTTTTTTTCTTATTGTTTTATACAAAATTATAAATAACAAATAATAAAATTAGAAAATTTGAGGAAAATATGCAATTGAATGAACTTTTTTTTCCTTTTTCATTTTAATAAATTTAATTTAAAAATTAATTTAACAATAAAAAGAAAAAAAAATTTTTATAAAATGAAAATAAAATAATAATTATACTTGTGAATAAACTAATGGTATAGGTACCCAATCATAATTGCATAAAAGTTGTAAACTATGACGAAATTTATCAACTTCCTGAAATTTTCACTCAATTTTTTTAAATTTAAGATTAAAAAAAAAAATTTTTTGAAATTTTAAATTGAAAAAGAAAAAACTATTTAATGAATAAAAAGTTTGAATTTTTTTTTTGTTTACAAAATTTTACAGCGCATAATTTCCAATAGAGTAAATCTGAAGTAATTATTTCTTGTTTTCGTGCATTCAATGCAATAGCATGAATCCATCGTATTGGTATCCAATATTTATTATATTGAAATTTAATTAAATCTAATTTCTCTTTTTCATTCTTCAAAAGAATTCCTGAAAAAAAATAATCTATTACTTATAATATTTAATATATATTTAAATTATTTAATATATACTTAAATTTTTTATTTAATATATACTTAAATATTTAATATATACTTAAATTTATATATAAAATGTTTATGATACTTTTATATGGTTTTCAAATATTTACACTCATTTTCATAAGTAAGATATTCTAGTTTAAAAATTAAATTTAAGAAAATCAAAAAAAGGAAAAAATTGGGAGAGAGAGAGAGAGATGTAATTATTTTAATAAAAGCAAATATTTGTCATAAAAATGCTAATTAAATTTCTATCTTACCTTTTTTTTTTTTTTTTTTGTAATTTTTAAAATTTAATATTTAAAATGAGAAAAATTATAACAAACCAGCATCAACCATACTATCAATTGTTGGAAAACGTTTCTGTACTTGAATACTAATATCACGAAATATAAAAATTTGAGTTAAACATAAATATCGCACTAAAGTTCGACGTAATTCTTTAGTATTTTCATCATTACCATGAATACAATTACTAATAAATAATGCATATCTGAAAAAATAAAGAAATTTCTGCCTCTTTTTTAATTTAATTAATAATTTTAATTAATATTTAATTAATAATTAATAATTTTTTTCATTTAATAATAATAATAAAAAAAGCAATAACAATTGTAATAAAATTTATCAAATAAATTTAACAAATATAATCTCAAATTATTTCTATCAGTTAAATGGTAGTAATTATTTATTAAATTTTTATCTATGAAATAAATCATTTTTGAATAATTAAAAAAAGAAATCTTTGTTGTAAAAAAAAAAAAAAAGAAAAAGTTTACGATTCGATATAACCCAAATTAGTGATAATATTAGACCATCGTGATAATATTGTATCGACAAAAAAGCCAAGAATAAAAGTAATTGGTATATATTCTAATCGTGTATCAAAATAATAAGCTAAATTTCCAAAAATACTAAAATAAATTTTATTAAAAATTTTCAAAAAAAAAAAGAAATTTTTTTTTCATATATTAATTTAATTTGAGATAAAAGATTAAAGATAAAATTTTAGTGAATTACATTTAGCTGTGAATAATTTTACATTGTATTAGTTTAAAGATAATGGTAATAATATTAATTATAATAAATCATAATATTAATAATGAATAATAATAACAGTAATAAATGATGATAATAACAACAATAAATAATAATAACACTAGTAATAATTAATAATGATAATTAATAACAACAAATAATAATAACACTAATAATAGATAATAGTAATTAATAATAATAATAATAATAATAATTAGTAGTAGTAACAATGATAACAATTAATATTAATAATAATATATAATGAAATAGTAATAATAATAACATTTAATAATAATAAATAATAATAATAACAGGAATAACAAATAATAATATATTTAATAATAATAGTGGATAATAATAATTAATGATGATAGTAATATTAATAACAACAACAAATAATAATAATAATAATAATAATAACAGTAATAATAATAATAATAGCAACAAATAATAATAAATAATAATTTGATACATTTTTTGTTTAGCATTAAGGATGTAATCTGATCGATAAATGAATGAAATAGCTAAGAAAAGTATAGTCCAAACGAATAATTCCTTATAAATAAGCTTCCAAACGCTGCCTTTCCATCGAAATAATACTCGAAAAATTGCTAAAGGTGACAGAGATGCTAATTGATGATGGTATGACAGTGTCATTGTTTACCTTTCATTTAGAATATTTTGTTATTGTTATTGTTATACCTGTAATTAATTACTTATTATTATTGTTATACCTGTAATTAATTACTTATTATTATTGTTATACCTGTAATTAATTACTTATTATTATTGTTATACCTGTAATTAATTACTTATTATTATTATTGTTATACTTGTGATTAACTACTTATTATTATTGTTATACTTGTGATTAACTACTTATTACTATACCTGTAATTAATTACTCTTTAATGATGGATTATTGATAGCAAATTAATATATTCATTATGTTAATAATTCAAAACTTGTTGAAGTGATAGCATATTTTTATTTATCTTTTAAAACGAAAGAAAAAAAAAGAAGACGAATAGAATGGTATATAATATTTAAGAATGAAATTAACTGATTGATTTACTTCCAAAGTTCTATTTTAACTATTTCAAATTTTAGCTTATAATTTATAAAATAAAATGTGCTTTTATTAATTGAAATTTTAAAATAAATCTGAACTAATTGAAATATATAAAAGTAAATCTGAAATACATTTAAATCTAAATTTAAATTTTAACATACAAAAATCTATTAAAACCAAAATACAATTACTTATAAAAGCATTAAAATATTTGCACAGCATGCATGCATGTATGCGTGTGTGTAATTTGTCTGTACAATTCATATGAATTGAACATATTAAAACTAATAAATTAATCAATTTAAAAGTATAATTGTAAGAGAGAAAGAGAGAGAGAGGGAGAGAGAGAGGGAAAAAGAGAGAAAAAAAATGAAATAAAATTTCAATAACAAAAAGCTGTTGTAATATCAATTCAACTATCATTTTATCGTATTTTTTTTTCGGTACTTATATTTTTTGTCTTTCATTGATTTATTCAATTGCACTTTTAACATTTGTTACGCTGAATACGTCATTTACGTCATAATAATTTATTCGTTTTCATTCATAATAATGATCGTTTCCATTTTGCTTATTTGTTAATTTCACTTTGTGGATTTCAAATATGAATCACTCATTTTATTTGAAATTATTATCTAATATTTGAAATTATCAAATGAATTTAAAAAAGTTTTAGTAATACATATGTAATGCAATCACTGTAATGCAATAATCACTGTAATGCAATAATCACTGTAATGCAATCACTGTAATGCAATAATCACTGTAATGCAATCACTGTAATGCAATCATTGTAATGCAATAATCACTGTAATGCAATAATCACTGTAATGCAATCACTGTAATGCAATAATCACTGTAATGCAATCACTGTAATGCAATCATTGTAATGCAATAATCACTGTAATGCAATCATTGTAATGCAATAATCACTGTAATGCAATCACTGTAATGCAATCATTGTAATGCAATAATCACTGTAATGCAATCACTGTAATGCAATCATTGTAATGCAATCATTGTAATGCAATAATCACTGTAATGCAATCATTGTAATGCAATAATCACTGTAATGCAATCACTGTAATGCAATCATTGTAATGCAATAATCACTGTAATGCAATCACTGTAATGCAATCATTGTAATGCAATAATCACTGTAATGCAAATCACTGTAATGCAATTGTAATGCAATAATCACTGTAATGCAATCACTGCAATCATTGTAATGCAATAATCACTGTAATGCAATCACTGTAATGCAATAATCACTGTAATGCAATCACTGTAATGCAATCATTGTAATGCAATAATCACTGTAATGCAATCATTGTAATGCAATAATCACTGTAATGCAATCACTGTAATGCAATCATTGTAATGCAATAATCACTGTAATGCAATCACTGTAATGCAATAATCACTGTAATGCAATCACTGTAATGCAATAATCACTGTAATGCAATCACTGTAATGCAATAATCACTGTAATGCAATCACTGTAATGCAATCACTGTAATGCAATCACTGTAATGCAATCATTGTAATGCAATAATCACTGTAATGCAATAATCACTGTAATGCAATCACTGTAATGCAATAATCACTGTAATGCAATAATCACTGTAATGCAATCACTGTAATGCAATCACTGTAATGCAATCACTGTAATGCAATCACTGTAATGCAATCATTGTAATGCAATCACTGTAATGCAATCATTGTAATGCAATAATCACTGTAATGCAATAATCACTGTAATGCAATAATCACTGTAATGCAATCACTGTAATGCAATCATTGTAATGCAATAATCACTGTAATGCAATAATCACTGTAGTGCAATCACTGTAATGCAATAATCACTGTAATGCAATAATCACTGTAATGCAATCACTGTAATGCAATAATCACTGTAATGCAATCACTGTAATGCAATCACTGTAGTGCAATAATCACTGTAATGCAATCACTGTAATGCAATAATCACTGTAATGCAATCACTGTAATGCAATAATCACTGTAATGCAATAATCACTGTAATGCAATCACTGTAATGCAATCACTGTAATGCAATCACTGTAATGCAATCACTGTAATGCAATCACTGCAATGCAATCACTGTAATGCAATAATCACTGTAATGCAATCACTGCAATGCAATCACTGTAATGCAATCACTGTAATGCAATAATCACTGTAATGCAATCATTGTAATGCAATAATCACTGTAATGCAATCACTGTAATGCAATAATCACTGTAATGCAATCACTGTAATGCAATAATCACTGTAATGCAATCACTGCAATGCAATCACTGTAATGCAATCACTGTAATGCAATCATTGTAATGCAATAATCACTGTAATGCAATCATTGTAATGCAATAATCACTGTAATGCAATCACTGTAATGCAATAATCACTGTAATGCAATCACTGCAATGCAATCACTGCAATGCAATCACTGCAATGCAATCACTGTAATGCAATCACTGTAATGCAATCATTGTAATGCAATAATCACTGTAATGCAATCACTGTAATGCAATAATCACTGTAATGCAATCACTGCAATGCAATCACTGTAATGCAATCACTGTAATGCAATAATCACTGTAATGCAATCACTGCAATGCAATCACTGTAATGCAATCACTGTAATGCAATAATCACTGTAATGCAATCATTGTAATGCAATAATCACTATAATGCAATCACTGCAATGCAATCACTGTAATGCAATCACTGTAATGCAATCATTGTAATGCAATAATCACTGTAATGCAATCATTGTAATGCAATAATCACTGTAATGCAATCACTGTAATGCAATAATCACTGTAATGCAATCACTGTAATGCAATCACTGTAATGCAATCATTGTAATGCAATAATCACTGTAATGCAATCACTGTAATGCAATAATCACTGTAATGCAATCACTGCAATGCAATAATCACTGTAATGCAATCACTGTAATGCAATAATCACTGTAATGCAATCACTGCAATGCAATCACTGTAATGCAATCACTGTAATGCAATAATCACTGTAATGCAATCATTGTAATGCAATAATCACTATAATGCAATCACTGCAATGCAATCACTGTAATGCAATCACTGTAATGCAATCATTGTAATGCAATAATCACTGTAATGCAATCATTGTAATGCAATAATCACTGTAATGCAATCACTGTAATGCAATAATCACTGTAATGCAATAATCACTGTAATGCAATCACTGCAATGCAATCACTGTAATGCAATCACTGTAATGCAATAATCACTGTAATGCAATCACTGTAATGCAATCACTGTAATGCAATTACTGCAGTGCAAACACTGTAATGCAATCATTGTAAAATTTCATGAGAATATTCCTTAATAAAATATAATTTATTTTATTAAAAAATACTACAATTAAAAAAAAAAAAAAAACATGTATGTATCAATTTAATTTGAATAATTTTAATTTAAATTATCTAAGATATCTAAGAAAAGAAATTTTTTTTTTTGCTCAAAATTTAATCTATTACAGTACGATTTTAATTATTTTAAATTTAAATTCACACAAACATTTCAATAATACATTAAATTAACAATTTTTGACAACAATTTTAATTGCAATTCAATTTCATTTATTTTCCATTACATTACTGTTATTATTATTATTATTAAGTAAACAATTTATATAATTAATTCAAAAAAAAAAAGAAGTAAATAATTTAATAAATGTAAAAAATGCATCTATAAAATGAATTTAAACTTTCTTTTTGCATATAAAATTTATGGATGACATATTGTCACAGTCGATGTCACTCCATTGATCATCCATTATTCCATTCCAATTCACCGTAACACATTTTACATTCATTCCGCAACAACTATTTGGTTCTGATATACGCCAATTTGTATAATTTAATTTTGTATAATTATCAATCCAAAACCATTTAGTGTCATTTTTAATTAAACCAATTAAATATGTATTATTTCCAACTAATCCTAAAAATAAAAAAACCAAAAAAAAATTTCGAAAAAAAAAATTCAAAACATTTAAGTTTGTTTTTTTGTTTTCAAAAAAAAGTAATTTACTGAAAATTTAATAAATAATTATTAGCAAAAGTTTTAAATTGTATTAATTTTTAAATTTGAATGATTAAATTTATTAAAAGAGAAAAATAATAGCAATAGATACATAAGTAATTTCATTTAATGACACGTGGAGTAATACGTGATATACACGTATTACTATTTGTTTGAAACGTTTATTAAATTAAAAATAAAATGATAAGAAAGAGAAGAGAAAATTATAATTGATAGTACGAAATGATATACCACTGATAAATTTCATTTCATCAAAATCACTGATAGATGTTAGGGATGCATTATATTCAGAACATATTGCTGATGCATTATGATAATTTGTTGAATTTTCTCCCTGAATTTTTTTAATTTTTAAAAAAAAATAATTACAAATCAAATATCTATTTATTTTTGAATTATTTTAATTTATTAATTCATTTTATTTCACTGAAGTTATTTATTTAATTCAAATTTTTTACTCCAATTTATTCATTTCTTTTTTCTAAAAAAAAAAATTGAACAATTTTTATAATTCATTATTTTAATTTTTTTTTTAGAGAAAAACAACAATCATATTCCAATGTCTAAATCGTTATTTTCATTTAATTTAGAAGATTAAAATTTTTTTTACTTTCTAATTATTTATAATTTTGTAAAATTTTCATCATTGATTGAAAACAATAATCATACATCATTATTCTTTGGTATTATGTTTTCAACTCTGACTAAATATGCAGCATAATTTAATTAATTAAAAAAAAAAAACAAAGAAAAAATATTTTGAAAAAAAAAAGAAGGAAAACTTACAACATAATAACAAGAATTTGTTTTAGAAAAATAAATCCAATCATTGAAGCAAATATCTGAAAAAAAAACACTTAAATATTATCATTTTATTGAGTTTATGCATTTAACATTAATTTAAAATATTCTTTTATCTTTTCTTTGTTATTTGTCAACAAAAAAAAGTCAAAAAAGTTTCATAATTTTATCAAATTTTATAAAAAATATAGAAAAAAATGATAAATAATCAATATACTTATAAAATAATACTAATAATTTCAAAAAAAAAAATGATAAAAATTTGAAAAAAAAGGTAAAAAATTTTTTGAACTTGCCATTATTAGTAATGCTGGAATTGTTATCAGTGATATTATCATTAATCAATGCAATATTATCACTTATTGTTGTGATATGAAATGTTCGTAGTAATGCATTAGATGCATCACGAACAATTTCAAGAAGTTTTCGAAGATCTGGTTGAATGAATGATGATTGCTCTGAGACATAAATAACATTTTCAATATTTTTCTTTGAAATCATTCTATCATTATCAGTATTAATCATTTTATCATTATCAGTATTAATCATTTATGCCTGATAATCTATAAATTTCATTGAAACAATTCACACTGGATGCATTTGTTTTTAATTTAGAATTTGAGCCATGAATAATGTCTGTTGTTGCTGATTTCATTGTTATCATTTTTGTTTGATTATCAGTTGCATTACTGATATCAGTTAATTCAGTTGTATTATTATTTGTTAGATTTTGTAATGATATTAATTCGGACAGTAAATTGCTAATTTCAATATTCGATGAAATGATTAAAGTTGAAGTTTCATTTGCTGAAGAAATGAATAAATTTGAATCCGTTAAATTTGCATTCAATTCTAAGGTTAAATTGTTAGAATTTGTAAATTTTAATTGATCCAATTGTGAAGTAATTTTAATTAAATCAGTTTCATTTGTTAAATTATCATTGTCTAATGATTCCATCGTGTAATTTGTTGCATTGAGAATAATTGGTGCAATTGTACAATTTCTATTTGATAATATATCACACATTTCTGATTGTTTTCCTGAAAACTCTTCCTGATCAATGCATTAATTTAATTGTATTAAATGATTAAAAAAATATTATTTGAATTAAAAATAAACAATTGAATTAAAAAGAAAGAATAAATTTAGCACATCTAATTTTCAGTCATTATTCAATAAAATTTACTTTTAATTAATAATAAAATAGGATAATTATAACTGCGCAAAGAAATAAATTAATTATAAAATTAATTATTTATTGCATAAATTATTACTGTGATAACCTTATTATCACTTTTTCAATTCAGAACTTTACTTCAATCTCAGAAGAGATAAAATACTGATAATTTTTATCTTTCAATTGAAAGATAAAATGAGAACAAGATAAAAAGTAAAAGAGAAAAAGATATGATTATCACTAATGTTATCATTATCACTATTGATGCTATCACTCTTTACTATAAATTTTATTATTACTTTGTCAAAATATTGACATCAATTTTATGCAGAATATGTCTCAACTATACCTTAAATTAGTACCTTTTGCACTTCATTAATTATCAGTTAGCTTTTCTTTTCTTTTCCTGCTAATTAATTAAGCAAAATGATATTAATTAAAAAGTAACTAACCGGAAGGAGATGTAAAGTAACCTGATTTGAATATGATGAAAAGCAATTGAATAGCGTACCACCACATATCAGTTTCCTCAAAATTTAATGATAAATTTGAATGAAAAATGAAATTCATTGAAGCGCTATAAATTATCGTTCGACTTTTATAAAATATTAAATGAATTTATCGTACCTTGCAGAAAAAAGCAAAAAAAAAAAGATAAAAATATTTGCTTTTTAAGATATTTGAATATGTTTTATTTTTCTGACCAATCTCATCATTTTATCATTTATAATCAATTTAACAATAAAATTTATACTTTTACAATTAAACTTTTTTTTTTCAAAAAAGAAAAAAAAATAAATAAAAAAACTGTTATCACTAATGTCTTTATTTTTCTTTTTTTTTTTTTAAACTTTTTATTTTAAAATGAAAATAAGAATGAAAATTATTGAAAAATATCAAATGGAATAACTAAACGATATGATTTTGTTTATTGGTGACTGTCACTGACAGCAATTCTTGTTACAAATTTATTTTTATGATATAAATATGTCTTCTAATGTTATCAATTATGAAAAATAAATGAGAGCAATGAGAGAGAGAGAGAGAGAGAGAGAGAGGGAAAAAAGAAAAGAAAGAAAGAAAGAAAAAGAAATAGCAAAAAAATTGGGATGAAATTTTTTTTTGAAAAAAATTTTTGCTATCTTTTTAGAAATCTATTCTCTTCTATATATGTATTAATCGACACATTTCAATAAGTTTTGCTTTAATTTAATTTTAAAGATGAATTAACTTCAGTTCAAAAATTTTTTAATATCTTGATTTTAGTTGAATTTAATAAATAATATAACTGATGCAATTTTTTTTTTTAATCTTCAAATTAAAACTAGAATTTAATCTTAACTGGGAATTTTTTTTCTTTTCATATTTGATGAATAAAATTATTAACATGCTAGCCTACATTCTTTATTCTTATAAAAAAAATTTTTTTAATACCAATAATTAAATTTTTTTTTAGTTCTAAGAAACTAAAAAAAATGAAATTTAATGTTTTTTTTTAAAAAATTTAATAATAAAATATAATATAATCATATCAAATTTGTTGCTTGTAAAATGTTTGATGCATTTTAATAATTCAACATTAGCTTCATTAATTAAATTCTAAATACACCGTTTGAAATTATATTTCATTTTTTTTTCACCAATAATTATACTTTAATTATTCATTAAATTTTACTTCCAAATTTTACTGCTAAATATTAATTAACCATCTTTGATATTTACATTGTCCAATGGCTTATTTTGGTAACAAAAAAGACAAAAGCAAGAAAAAATGATTACATTTTTGATGAAGTAATTAAATAGAATTAAATAGAAATTTACAAATTTAAATTTAATGAAAAAGTTTTATTTATTTTTTCCAATCTATGATTATAAACTTTTTCACTGATGCATGAATTTATTTATTTTTTTTCTTTAATTGTCCACTTACGATATCTATTCGCTTTTATGATTGAACAGGTATGAATTGCATTCATCAAATTTTCAATCCCTTTTTTTTTCTTTTAACAATACATATAGGCAAAAAAAGAAAATTAAAAAAAAAATATACACGTAACGTATACATGTATACAAAATAATATATACGTACGTATGCATTACGTGTACTTACGTAAAAGGTATATCTTATCAGTTAGCATATTTCTTGTTTTCTTATGACGAATGGATGTTAAAATGAAATTTTAATTTTGAATTAAATGAATTACGGCGGTGGGATTTAAGATTTACACAGTAGTCAGTCAAGTTGATATAAGATCACGCGAAAGAACTAATGGAAGTTTAGTTGCAGAAGGTTTGGTGTAACAATTTTAGTTTCAAATGTTGCGATGCTTTGAAAGCATTTTCGATTTATTGTACTTGGATGATTAAGTATTGCATTAGTTTGAAGATTTAATTGTAAAAAGTTTGGTGTAACAATTTTAGTTTCAAATGTTGCGATGCTTTGAAAGCATTTTCGAATTATTATACTTAAATGATTAGATATTACATTAGTTTGAAAATTTTTGACGGTGATTTGATTTATGAAAAGTTTTTCTTTTTTGTTCACTTGTTTAAAGATTATTTTATAGAAAAAATAGTTTGCATCAAGGAAAAAAATTGTAATGATTGATAGAATACTTGAAAATTTGTATCTGAGTGATGTACAAGATGTGCTAAATGAATTTAGAATTGATCGACTTAAGAATGAATTAAAGGTTTGTGATTTTCGTTATTTTTATTGTATTATCATTTGATCTTTAAAATTATTTCTTTTTTTAAATTTTACAAAGCTCGTTTTATTTTTAAAATTGATTCCTTTTTTCAACTTGATAAGTTTTTTTCGAAGGAATGTTTTTTTTTTCTACATCCATAACTAGTTTCTCTATGCTTCCTGACAATAATAACATTCGTTATAATTTGTAAATTTCAATAATTTCGAGTAAATATTGCTTCAGATTAGTCATGTTCTTACGGTAGCAGCAGAAGGTATTCCAGTGGAAAAACAAATTGTTGGGATATCTTATATGTTTATTTATGCATTAGATACGAATACACAAAATATGTTCGCAGATAATTTATTAGGTATTTTATTCCAGTATTTATTTCATTTCAAAGAAAAAGTGAAAAGTATAGAACAGAAGAGCTTAAAGGTATTTCATATTTTGATGTGTTGTCGCTTATTCTTCTCTTTTCTTGCTCTTCTTTGTTCTGAGTACTTCTATATTAAAATAATATAAATGTCCTATATATGATACGCAATTTACGTGTACGTTTGCGTTTACCTAACGTCGATTTGATGTGTTATAGCGAATGCGTTGATGTTCATCAGAACAAGTTTTGAGAATAATGGACGAGTCCTTGTACATTGGTACGTTTAGATACAATTACTGAATGATGCAACTAGTTAATCTGTTTGTTTCTTTTCTGCTATTTTCTTCTTTAGTTTTACATTTGAGCTTTAATTTTTTATATAAACAAAAATTAACAGCGTAAAATATTTCCATATATGTAATTAATCAATAACAATCCAACCAATAAGCTGTGTATTATCTTTCTTTTTTTGTTTATCCATCCGTCACCTTTTTTCGATTTGTGCTGCAATGAAAGACTATTTAGTTAAAAGAATAACTAATGTGTAATGAAAGTTAACAGCAGAAGCAATCCATAGTTTGATTAAGTTTTATTTCTTTATTCAGCTTTTAGATCTAATAATGTAGCATTTATTATAATTAATCTGAAGTGATTAATAGAGGTTTTAATATAGGATTTCTCTTAAACACAGAATTTCTTCAGTGAAGCTGGGATATCACGTTCAGTATTTATTGTTGCCGCTTATCTAATGCAAAAATTGCAGTGGTCATCGACAAAAGCTATTGAATACATACAAAGGATACGACCTATAGCGCTGTCATTTTTTAGCATTTTTGAGCAATTCGTTTCATTTCATTAAATTCTATGAATCATCGATTCTTATATTGGCAAATTTCTTTTACAAGAAAATTATTGCATAAATTCGTTCGTCATATATTATATAACACCAGTTTTTTCTTAACTAGATTTGTTTATTCTCTTAAGTGACAGGGAAACAAGAGGAATTTCTTATTAAAAATTCAAACTTTCCAAACTTACTTTGATACCAGTTTTGAGTCTCACTGTCAAGCGAAATTAAAAATTGTGCAAAATAAAAAAAAATATATTTTCGTGATTTAGACCAAATGATGGTTTCATGCAGCAGTTACAAATATTCGAAAGTTGTCATTTTATCGCCGATATCCAAATTATTTCGCAGTGTCAATTGTACAAAAACTGGTTATTGAATATCTCTTCAGGTAATGGTATTACTAACTTAATAGCTTAATTAGCTTAAAAATTAACGCAAAATAAACTTTATAAATTTCTAGAATTGGCATGAGTCTTGCATGTATAATGAGGACTTTAAATATTGAAAAAAAAAAAATGAATGTATAATGAGCACTTTAAATATAGCAATAATTGAATGAAATGTGATTTCATTAAAATAATGTACCAGATCATATATTCTAGTTGACATCCGGTCTTTCGTCTAAAATATTACAGAGAACTGTCATAGTTTAATGTCTCTTATGTTTTACAAATAAACATGTGTGATAAATGCGAATGTTTTAGATGGCAAATACGATTAACACAAATTGACATACTTTTTAGCGTCATCTGCGAGATTTCCTTTGTACAAAAAGTTGCCAAACTTGATCGATTCCACTTGGTCGAATGTTGAATATCGATGTCGTAAATGTAGAAAAATTCTATTCAATGATAAGCATATCCTAACACATAAAACAATGACATCTCGTAATGTTACTGGCAATGAGGAAACGGGGATAATCGATTGCGGTTTCGGTCATTTTATTACACCGATGGATTGGATGTCTTTAAATGAGCATCGAGGAAAAGTAATTTTTTTTTGGGGTCAAAAAGTTTGATTTATAATCCTGTTCTATTGTTTTATTTTTCTTTGATATGAGGAATCTCCAGTTTTTTTTTTTTTTTTAAATCTCAGGGCAATCATTCTTCCAGATTTTCATTGAATTAGATCTTATGTTGTTAATAAATTTTTCATTAAATAATTTTCAGATTTCTTGTTCTTGCAACGAAAAGCTTGGCCATTATGACTGGGGAGGACGTGTATGCGAAGGAATGTCTGGTAGGCCATGCGGAACAGCTGGTAAGTTTCATCTTGAATATTAAAAGTAAAATAAAATTTTGGGATTCTGGATATCCTGATAATGCTTTATAGAATATTAGTATTTTTTGAATTATTTGAAGTAATGCCGGGGAAAAAAAAAGCCAAAATAAGTAGTATCAACATTCTTCTTCACATGTATATTGTTTGCTGCTTGATGCAAAATGATGTGATATGAGATGAAATTTCCCTCAGTTTGGTAAAATGAAGTTTATGTTGCTAAGTGGTAGAGGATTTTTTTGCACCCATATTAAATCAGCAAACGGAATTCTTATGGATCAAGTAAAACTCAATTAGAGGGATCTAGTTTGAAAAAACAACT